ATTAAATGTTGTCTGGTCTTCAGCGTCAATTACACTTCTAAAAGTTACACTATCAGAGAATACTCAAATTACTGAGACACGGTATACCATGATCCTAAATCGGTATCAGTCCTCAAAAAATTTGAAAAAAAATATATATTTATATAAATTTATATAAAAAATCTGATTATTCAATTTCGATATAAACTAATTAGCTGAATCTTCCATAAACCAACAAGATTTTTTTGCAAAAAATGACATATAAATAGATAAATAAACAAATATAAATATAAATATATAAATGTCATTTTAAATACAAGTATAAATATAAACATAGATATATACATACTTTTTCTTCTAGACTACGTTTATTGTTGTTTCCACGTGTTCAAGAAGTAATTTTATAACCGTTTTTAAGGATAAACTGTGAAGAAGACAAGCAGACAGAATTTTAATGAAATATCAGACATAAATAAAGACCAGAAAGAGAATAAATTTTATTTGTTCAATCATAAAAGAGTGCAGAAAAAAAGGTACAATTGAACAGGAAAAAAAGTAACATTCAACGTGAATCAACAAAGAACGACTGCTCATATAAAAAAATCAGTTTTTCAAAACCGATGTGAAACGCCAGAAAAATAACAAATTTCGAGTGTTGAAACATATTTTTCCACTGTTTACTGCCCTATCCGAAACTTTAACTTGACACCAACTGAAACAAACTCTTCATCAGCAAAATCATCAGAGTAATAGCAAACAGTTGAAAAAAACACTGCATAGAAAACTTTGACAGTTTTAGCAATAAACAAATAATTAACAGCAAGTAAGAACTCAAATTTTTAAAAATTAAATGTTCATAAATCAAAGATCACAAATTTATGCAAAAAACCACAGTCCTTTTCAACAACAACAACAACAAGATTGAGTCAAATTTCGTTTGTCATTCTTTCCCACCAGCAAATTAACAAAAGATGCAAAACTTCATATCATCAAGAAAATCATTTGATAATTTACATAACTTTTTCCTGTTTTCAACTGCACATATCACATTTTATCCTCCAATTAACTAATCACTCTCACTGCAGCAATAATCCTCTTTTTGCATCATCATTTTTTTTACCCTTTAAAATCTTCAACTCAGTTTCAGAGTTTTTTCAATTGTTTTTCTACATCCAAAAAAACATATTACAAAAATATAACAAATTTATTGGAATTCCTATAAATTAGACAATATTTCTGCAGTAATAGCTAGAGTAAATCAGAAAAACACACACGAACACATTATAACCGAGTATTGTTGGGAATAACAGAGTAATAGCAAATGGCAATGTGTTACTGAAACATAAGCAGATTAACTTATTCGTCTAAAAGAACATATGTGTGAACCAATTACTCAATCGTTTCTATCACCAGCTTTTGGCTTGGATTGATCCTAACTTTAAAACAAAATAACACCACAAAACCCAGAGTATAGGCAAATTAAAGCAAAGATTTCTGATCACCACGGTTACTGGGTAAAGCAGAACCAAAATGTGACAAAGAGAAAGGCACATCTCCATCACAACCAGCAACGGAAGCAGCATCATATATCTGTCTTGCCAGTGTTTCAAATATACACCAGCTATATGTTGCTTTAGCCATCTTGGCTAGCTTTAGTGTTACCGATTTAGTCTCGTACTCATCTTCCACAAACTGAATGCCATCTACGAACACAGATAAATCAAAGATGAAAGATTTTTTTTTCGCTCTTCTGCTTTCCACCCTCCATCCCACTTCTCTTCTCCCACTTCTTTTCTCTCATCATCTTTTTCTTTCTGTTTAAAAATAAAAAATAATTTTTATTTCCCTCAACAAAATCAATGTTTTTTTTCTTTCATACTTCTTAGTTCAAATGGATGCTTTATCAAGATAATTTTTTATCCCATCTGATATGCGCAAAATGATAATTCTAACTAAACAGACTATGCAGAAAAAAATAAATAAATAAATAAACAAATAGTTCAATTATTTTTTTCTAATATAAATTTAAATGCATTTTAGTGAAGAAACTAATGTGAAATTCAATATTTTGAACCCTTCCTCTTCCTCTCCCAACCCCCTGAATGTGCTGCTCTTACCGCAGAAAAAAAAAAAGAGAGGAGGAAGAAGAGAAGAGAAGAAAAAAAAAGAAAAACTGAAAATAAAACGGTGAGTGCCTCTGATAAAAAAGAAAATAAAATAAAAACAAAGCAAAAGCAGAAATTATAAGACCTTATTTCCTGAAAGAAATAGAAAGACCTGAAAACAAGATAAAATTACAGCATTTCTGAAAGACAGACCGATATTTGTGAACTAAGAGGACACAATCATACAGAAGAAAAACTTTTTCCAGTAGCGAACACTGTTGCTACACCTTTATCAGCAGTGATAAATGATTTAAAAAAGTCAAAGTTTGAAATCATCTTTAAAGTTTTCAAGCAACAATATTGTGGTCAAATTCTAAACTGCTGTTTTTTCATTCTTCTTCTTCCTCCTATATTTTCACTTTTAATTTCCAACATATGAAGTTTATGTGCATTTAGGTGTGTGTGCTTCCACCGATTTCAATGATAACAACAGCAATTAAATGTAACCTGTGCATAAAATTTCGATCGTAATCTCAACAATAATTCTTAATATCATCAGTCCAATATTACGTAATTGCCAACACTCAATGAACAGAGAACATATCAATCGAAACTGTGCTTCAAGACAAAAGCAAAAAAAAGGAACAAAAAAACGTTTTTATAGGACGTTCCAATATTCTTTGCTCATCCTAAGATCATTTCAAATCGAAAAAAAAACAATCGAATTCTAAATTAGGTAAGCTTCAAAAAAAAAACCTACTTAAGCAGAAAAAAACTTTTCTCTAGTTTTATTACCCCTGCACACAGATGTTCCAGAGGTTATAAGCATTCATCCACTTTATTCTGCTAATAATCAAAGCTGACATATATGTAGGTATGTTTTAAGCAACATATTTTAGAAACCGACTTGATAACAACAAATTAGGTAAAAATGAGTACTGCGTTTAAAGAAAAAAAGTATACCTATATCAAACAAATAAATCAAAACTGGATATTCAGTTCAAGTTTGTTTATTGAACATTTCAACGATACGATTTACTGCTGGCAAACAACAAATTTTCCTCTCGGATGGGTTGCATTTGTTGGTTACAGGAATGCAAAATAAAGACAAAAAAAAAAGAAGAAAAAGAACAAAAAGAGAGAGATTTCCATGAATCATTCACATGCTATTTACGCAGTAACAGCATTTTATAAACGAATGTTTAACGTCACACGTATAAACCAAAGAAATTTTCACCTACGAGTTTTCCTCAAAAAATAAGCTTTTATAAAACAGTGCTCTTAAATTAGTAAAATTAGCTATATTTTCTTTTTTCACGTAACAACTGAACAGCAATAGATAAAACTACTTGATCCTTTTCTTCTTCTTCTTATTCATTTCTTTTTTTGCTTGTTCTATCCGAAAAACTTTTTGCTAAACGGAAAAGGACACAGTTCACTAGTTTAACAATAGCTTCCACAGATCTCTTCAAGAACCATCGTATAATATCATCAAACAATGAGCAACTTTTTAGATGAAAATGAGCGAAGAATGAAAAAATGACTATCCTGATTGCTCATCCAAATAATTTAAACATTGTTTCATTATTCTGTTTCCTTCTTTTTTCTCTCCTTTTCCCCTCATAAACCACACTGTATACAGCACTGCAAATAGAATCCAAATTTTATTCACAGAGATGGAAGCCCGTCCTCAGTCTCACTCTCTACAAGAGCCACAAAAACATGAAAATAAAAATGACAAAAAAAAAAGTAAAGAAAGACAGTAGAAAAAAACCAAAAAGGTAAGAATAATTTAGAATGATACTATATTATTTATGTTGTTCATTAGCTTAGCAACCCACATTCCGTTAGTGAACCCACTGTTCATTCGCCAAATGATAGCCCATTTTTTCATGTTTTAATTGGTTTTCAACTAAAAATTTCAAATTTCAACTAGATAAACACAAAAATTTCTTCTTATTTTCCACAGACTTTTTTATGCCTTCTGCTTCCCCAGTTTTTGTCCAAAATTAATAGAAAAAAATTTTGGCTAAAAAATAATTAAAACAATATGCATCCTGGTAATCCTAAACTAATACATTTACTTGTCGATCAACTTGACATTAAGCCATCAAAAGAAAGACAAAACCTGAATCCTTATAAGGAATTGCAATAAAATAAAAAATCAACAAAAAGAGCAGCAAAAAAAAAAAAGAAAATAAATTTTAAAAAAAAGCAAAAACAAAAACAAAAGAAAAAAGTTCAAAAATTCTCCACTTTTGTTTTGTAGACAGCAGAAAAGCAGCAGAACAGAGAAAAAAAAACAGAAAAGTTTCAAAAAGTTACTTAAATAACACAAAAAAAAAAAAAAAAAAAAAAAAAAAAAAA